GGGGGGGGGGGGGACGGGAGACGAGACGAGACGAGAGAAAGAGTGAGAAAGAGGGAGAGAGAGAGGACGAGGGAACAAACGGTCGAAGCCGGTCGATTTGTATCACGCATAGCCGTGCGGCTCTGCGGATGCGTAATGCGCTAAGCACGATGCGGTATGTATGTACATACGTGTACGTGGCCGTGTACGTGTACGACACGCTTCGCCGCGGGAACGCTACCGCGTCGTACCGCGCAAAAATCGATGCGGCGCCGAGAAACAGAGAGAGAAACAGAGAGAGAGAGAGAGAGAGAGAGAGAGAGAGAGAGAGAGATGCGGGAGCACCGCGCCGCGCCGCGTCGCGTCGCCGATCCGCGAGCGTCAAAGGCTAACGTCATTGACGTAGTTCGTCGAAGGGCCGGGTCCACAGTCCTTCGAGCAGCGGGCTGCTCGCTTTTTGGACGAGTTTCCCTGCCACCGTCACCGTCGCACGACGCGACGCGACGCGGCACGGCACGGTACGGCGCGGCACGACGCGGCGCGAGGAGACCGCGTGCGTCGAGCCTGCGCACGCTAGAACGCGCAATGCGACACGCGATAGAACGGGACGGAGAGTACAACCGTGGTAATCTCGTTATAGGGAGAGGGACGACGAGAACGGGGACGTCGGAGTCGGGGACACTCGGTGCCGGGGTGGGTTTTCGGGGTAGGTAGGTGGATAGGTAGGTAGGTAGGTAGGTAGGTAGGTAGGTAGGTAGGTAGGTAGGTAGGTAGGTAGCTAGGTAGGTAGGTAGGTAGGTAGGGGATAGGTGAGTAAGCAGGCAGGTGGAGGTAGGTAGGGAATTTAATAGAAGAGCCATAGTAAAGAATGTTAATTTTGCCGTAATGGCATCGGTCTTTCGCACAGTCACGCTATCACTCGCTAAAAAATTATATTTCTCGCGTCCTTGTACGATGGGACCGTTGAGAAACAAAGAGAGAGAGAGAGACAGAGGCGGAGAGAAAATGCGATTCACCCTGCGATTCCGCGCTCGTTGCGCAATACATTTCGACGCTGTAATTTGCGGCGTCATTGTGAGCGAAGGATCTCTTCATTCGCGATGATTGGCAGGTAGGATCCTCTTTCGTGTGCTTGCGACATCGCGAATTCGCCGAAATCGCACGGGGAGCGGTCTTTTCTCTCGAGTTGCACCTCAGTCCCAGCGCACTTCTGACAATTCGAACGCGAACGGGAGGGGAATTCGCCTGAGTCGCGCGCGTGTCTATGCTATTTTTTATTCATAAAGAATACCTACAATGTGGGTTAGCGCACAGAGCGGGAAAACCAGATATAGCTCTATATAGGTACGAACAGAAGCGCCTGAATATAAAGCCGCGTCTCGTCGCCGTTTAACCGAGGCGACGCGACGCGTCTCTTCGCCGCGGATTTAAATACTTGCCCCCGCGTGTTTTAATTGACACTCGCCCTGATATCACTGGTATCCACGACGGGTCGCTCTCTGCTGTAATCACGCGAGTCGCGATGTATTCTTAAGAGGATACGGCATGCATCTCCAAAAGTTCTCACTTCGTCTCATTTTCTCCATTTATATCATTCGAGTGTTCGTTTGGGTTGTCACATAACGACAGTTCATTTATATTGAATAAAAATAATCAAGTTTTTATTGTTTTTATTTTTGCCTTTTCAGGCTGAGGTTTCGAAGCATCTGATATCTATCAAAATAGTATTGGATTTCCAAAATAAAATCAAAGAGTTAGATGGGATTACGTGGAATTTATATTACCTCAAACAACACAGATCTCCACAAAATAACCTTTTTAAAGACATTCTGAGAACATTCCCCGGACATACTCTGGAAATCTTGTGCTGTGCGGGATAGATTGTCGCGCGCGCGCGCGCATCGTGTATGTGTAACGTCTGAGTGTACAATAACGCCTTATTGAATCTTCGTGGTTAGGGTCACTTTAGGTTCTGATGAACTTTTTGCATCGCGTTTGTTTTGACAGAAGTGCGAAATGAAAGATAAGAAACAGAAAACGATATCTAGAGTGGACTGAAGAAACGCCCCGACATCCTTCGGACATCGTTCAGATGTCTTCCAGATGTCTTCCCGAGCTCCCGATTCCGCTCTCCTACGTTTTCGTAGGCGGTAACCGCCTATTCGACTAGGACGGCCAACACATTTCTCCATCGGCTGGTTCTAATTCGAAATTAGGAGGTACAAGTCGCGCGCGGTCGCGCGCCGTGTCTCTCTCTGCATACGCGTCAATACGTCGACCCTCCCGACGATCCAAGGCGCTCTCTCAAGCTCTCTACACAAAACCAGGCCATGCGTGTATAACATTATTATATCGATTACACAAAAGAAAATAGCTGCCTCTTTATGACAAACGCGACTGTCATTCGTGCGCGCTCTATATGCCGGTTTGTCGCGTCTCTCTCTCTCTTTCGCGCGCGCGTCGCGTCGCGTTTTGCGGCGCAATGCATTTCACCAACGATCGAAGGAAAAAATGGAGGAAGGAAAGGGCTTTTGTTCCCGAAACGAAAGAAAAAAAGAGAAAAAGGAAGAGAGTAGAGTAAAGTAGTAATATTCTGGGGTAGGTAGATTAACTCTATAGAGCTTACAGTGTGTGACATACATAGAAATAACCATCATCTGAGTCAGAACACGCAAAAATAAAGGAAAAAAATATCTGACTATTATCTGAGAAATAGTAGAGAGAACCATAAATGTGATCCGTGTTTGTGTTACACCAGAGCTGCGCGTGTGTGTGTAAGAGAGAGAGAGAGAATAGGAAGGGAGAGAGAGATCGGTCGGCAGGCCGGCTCGTTACTCGGATAAAATCTCGCCTTATCGATCTCTATAAAAATAAATTACAACACTTTTAGAGGCATTGCACCAGACTTTTCCGTCCCGAGCGGCGCCGTGCCGCTCGTGCCGTTACGTCCGATTTCGTTCGTTCGTATGTACGTGCTTGCGCATCGCGCAAATTGGGGCATCACGTATGCGCACTGTCGTCCGCGATAAATTTGCGCAGTCATCCCGTTCGATGCGCGCACCATATAAACGCAACGGATCGGATTATCGAAATAACGATTCTCGCGATATTCGTCCGCGGGATAGATACCGGGAGAGCGAGCGAGCGAGAAAGAAAGAGAGACAGAGAGAGAGAGAGGCGCGCACAATCACAACCCTCCGAAGGAAGCCAATTAGACGTTCTGTGATATGGTTCGATTATCTCTCCGAGATCTTTGGCATGCGGTTTGGGCTATAGAGAGGTGCACGCGATATTTCATAGGAAATCTTTTTCTTCTTTTCCCTACGTATCATATGGCGTTAGATCGCTGACCCACACAGTTACGAACGTCTATAAAGCTCTGGAGAGGTAAGACTTTATTTGGATTTATTACATCAATCGTCTTTCGTTAAACTATATATTTATACAATCAAAGTAATTTCTTTGTTTCTTTTAACAATGAGTTTGTACAATAGTACAACGTGTCCAGGTACTATTGACGGGAAGGCAAGGAAATGCCCGCGATGTAGAGAAAGACAGAGAGAGATAGGGACAGAGAAAGACAGACAGAGAGAGAGAGAGAGAGAGAGAGAGAGAGAGAGAGAGAGAGAGAGAAATAGGGACACAGAAAGACAGAGAGAGAGAGAGAGAAAAAGAAACAGAGAGAGAAAGAGAGAGAGAAACAAAGAAAAATAGATTGTGATTTCACCGAATTTTATCCTAGGAAATTAGAGGCTTGAATCACTCGAAGGTCACCGGTATCGACAGAATCGGTAAGATGGGATTCGTGGTCTCGACTTCCAACGCCGTCGCCATGCAGTCGCTGGCCGCCTCCACCTCGCCCAACGATTCCAACACCACTCCCAGATTATACCTGAAACACGGACGTTCTTCGTATCTTCTATAATAATCTTCATAACGTTAAACATAGTTCGAAAGTAGGACGATATGCGTGCTCGGTCTCATTAAAAGCGAGCGGTACATTGAACAGTCGGTTTCTTATCGAGCCATACTGCGATGTGATTTATCGTGACGATTTTTAAGATTATATGAATTGTGGATATATTTATGTGTGTGTGTGTGTGTGTATATAACGCCGTAATGAATTATCGAGATGTGTTCTCGTAGTGAAATCGTAAACAGCAAGTGACTCTTTGTTCGTTGTTGTGTGATAATAAATCTTAGGTGAGATAATATGTCTTAATAAATCGTATTATTTCGCCCTTTGAGTTCTGGCGCGTATCTTCAAGGACACGATATATAATATAAAAATATCTTCAATGATCTAATACATCATTTGATAGGGCGTTTTTGAAGCTAGTGATAGTTTATCTTGAAAAAAGAAGCAATTAAATTTTTGTCAATTTTCTCATTACCTATAATAGAATTTCAATTTCTTCCTAATGTAACCACTTTCCAAATCAAACTTTTCAAACACTATTTACACAGATTGTCCTTTTATTAAAATATTAAATTCCTAAGATAAAAGAACCAAGGAATTTAGAAGTAAAAATAAAGATTAAAGTAAAGTTTTATATAATACCAGGTTTGATGGGAATTCGGATCGATCTTCGCAGCGTCTCTCAAGGTTTTCTCAGCCAGTCTCTGGCTACCCAAATAGTGATAAATCAGACCCTGCAAATGTGTCGATAATTAGATACTGAACCGACATATATTTATCGCACTTAGCAATCGTACAAGATTTACACGAAGAGAACATTATAACTTTCTTTCATATGGAATTCTTTCCAGCTATCATATTTTCCAGTAGCACAGGGATAGAGACCCAGTGAATTTCATCTTGCTAAAGAACATGATAAATTTTTTAATAGGAGACTTCGATCTCCAAGATATAAATAACTAACGTGAAACGCGCGCGTAAGGATAATAAATTTAGTTAGAATGTCGATATGTTCCTCGGTTAAAGACTTTTACAATACTTTTTATCACAAAATTCTCTCAGTGTACGTTCCTGAAAGTTAGTCGATTCGACGTAACGATCGTTACCAAGTGTTGTAGACTCTTTATGTGCGATGGATTGATCGACACGGCATTTTGGTAGCATTGCTTCGCTTCCGTATACTCGAGCTTGTATTCGTGCAGAAGGCCACGCTGTAAAGAGATAAATACTTTTGATGATTTCTTTTTATCATATACGACCATCTTCGTTAATCTTATAATTTCATTACTGAATTCTCGAGAAACGCTGAATTTACAAGAAGATAAGACGACACGAGCTATTACCGTATACATGATGTGATGGCTCAATGGGAAAATATTGGTGGCCTCTTGGAGAGACAAAACAGCGCCATTTGGTTGGTCCAAGATAAGGAAAACCTCGGTAAGTAAGAGCCAGATTTGTAGTTGCAGCAGCCATGCCCTCTGCGGCCCTGGTTTTGGTGTGAATGAGCTAATTGACGAGGCAACTTCGGAAAGGGCTTGCTCGACTCTCGAAGCAGCTAGTGATTGTGCATGCAGAGAACCTATTGGAACGTCGTAGTTTTGTAGGATTAGTCAATCCGGGAGACTATCGGAGGGGCTTGTTCTATCTGACGTTGCAATTAATTAGATTTTAGTCTAATCGCAAAACGCTGGAGTGCGCTATTAGATGGAGACACAGCGGGTGAGGTCTCTTCTTTTCTGACAAGGTGTGATTTCAGCTTTCAAACGTTATGAAATTGCGAGTCACGAGTCTACGCAACGTTATTCGATCAGCGTCGATTTAGTCTCGATTATTCAGCATTAATTTTTACTTCGCATTAAGTTAGCCTCGCTAGAGCGATGCGCCGGATACTCACTGGAGTCTTTGTCGGACATCTCCGATGTGTAAAGCTGAAAGACGCTTCTGGTCTCGCTGCGCTTCTCGCTCTGCTGTTCATTGCAATTGACGTTCGTCTGATCCTCGTAGAGAGTCTTCCAGAGGTGCAACATATGGCTGATGGTGTACAGCGCGTCGACGCCGCCGATACTGCGCAATTCGAGATGCGCCTTCACGTAGAGGAAATTCAAGTTGTCCGGATACTCCTCCAGCACACTGTTGATCACGTGCAACGCCTCTGAATACTGCTTGTGAGCCGACAAGAGTAACGCGAATAAATGCAATGACGGAATGTGTTCTGCTCGTAGATTCAGTGCGATTTTCACGTGAACGATGGCGTCGGCGATCTGCCGGTTTATCGCATACTCATGTGCCAGGTAATATTCTGCCAAATGATCGTTCGGATCGCACTGTTGTGCTCTGTTTAAAAAGACGATATTCCATTAATTATTAAAGAAGGTTTCCTGCGGTGACATTTATTCTTAACCCTTTGAGTCCCGTTTTTTATTGCAGAAATGTAATATTTTAATAAAGGGAGACAACAGATATAGGGGAGAGAGCATAAAAGTTTCATTTGGAAGTGGCTTCAGCAGAAAAAAAATTTCATTATAAAAAATGAGAAAATATTGATAAAAATTCAGTCTCAAGTATATACGCCGGGATTCAAAGGGTTAATGCAGTCTTGCCGGAAATATACTTCTGAAAGCAATCCAACGCGGTGTTTGTGTGATGCACTTTGTCCTGTTTCACAATCGTGTTCGCAGATAGCATACTGTGACCGATTCCTATATACAAATGGCATCTGGACTGCATTCCCTGCGGACTTGCCGTTTCTCGTTGAAGCGCCTTCTGGCTCCATTCGATGCCTTCATTTATCTGTTTCGAGTCATCTTTACGATTATTTCTCTTTCTTTCCTTCTTTCTTCCTTTCTCACGCACTTAAGTATACATAAAGACAAATTTGTAAACAAGAGTGTAAATTTGCTTACCATGTTTAACTGCTCATAGCACAGCCTTGCGGCCAACAGACAAGGCATTACTTTCTGCGGGGACAGTCTGGCGACTACTTTCAAAACTCTATACGCATGCATGTATCTTCCCATACTGATCAGACATAACGCGTACTGCGTCCATATATGCGCTTCCTCGTGCGAGAACTTCATCGCTCTCTCGAAAGACTGCAAGAATGCAAGATAAGATGACACGTTGGTTATTCCAAGTAATATGAGCGCATAGCGTTGAGTAATGACTGCGTATACCAACCTCGAACAAAAGATCCACTTGACTCCATCTAACGACGACAACTGTCAGCAAGTCATAAACGGCGGTGGCATTCTCGAACGCGTGTATCCTCGCCTCCTTAAATTCAGGCGATTGACTGAGAACAGCGTCTCTCACCGCCATCGCCTCGCTGATCAGCAACAACAGAATCATCTCCTCGTACTCGTTTTTCGGGACAAACATGTTAGGTCCTGCGTACTTCTTCGGTTTCCACGGCGAACTGCTACCCGAGTAATGATTCACTCTTCTGCTGCTTACAGTGGCTGCGAAAGCGATACCGCTATGAAATCATATCATTCGTTCGTTTGGGAAAGAGATCGCCTTGCGTTTCACATGTTATCGTACCTATCGTGTCGGTTGGATCCTCCGGTGGCTTGTAGCCGGCACCGCTTATTCCGCGCAGCAACACCTCCGCCAATTGTCTCGTAAGCGTCACTCGTAAACTCTGAGTAGTCGTGGACTCGACAGCAGATAAAACTTCCCTGTGAAATGAGAATGGAAGCTATCAATCGACAGTTATTGCTATGAGTGTGTGCATAGATTAAGTAAATAGCGTTGTGGATGAGACTAGATCTTGAAATTAATAAACTGACGATAATGAAGTATGTATGTATACAGGATAAGGCACTAACGCGTAGACAGATGAATATTTCTAAAGGTATCTCTATATGTAGAGGGTGTCGCTACGAAATCATGGTGTATAGATGGATTATATCAAACTGAATACAAAAGTCCCCTACCATTATGCAAAGAACATATGGATTTTCTAGTTAATAATTAAAGAAGATTGACGAACGATTACGTGTTAATGTTTTACCAATCTTCTTTGATTAATAACTAAAAAATCTACATGTTATTTGTAAAATGATAGAAGCAGATTTTTTGTTTAGTTTGTGATAAAACCCACAACTCTGTAGCGAATTATCGGCCTGTACAATTGACATGCATACCTGTAACGATGGACAGCGGCTTGTATATTGCCGGTTTGAATATATAATATCGGTGCTCTTTGCAGTGCAGTCTCCAAGATGGGGCCGACGTTCTTTGTGGTGCAAACTGGGGATTGTGTGGAATATGTACCTGAAAACGTGAAAATAGTAATATTAGAACAGGAAAGTGATACATATATTCGTGTCTCGCGACAAAACACCGGATGATCACCTGTGTTATTCGTATTTATAGTAGATATACCATTCTGTTGTTGCATGGCAATTTTATCTTGCTCTTGCAGATACACCAACGTCAGATCGCCAGAGATCTCGTAACACTTGATTATCTGTTCATGCCATTCTGCGATTTTGTATTTTGACTTAGAGTTTGGTGGCAGTCTTTCCAGGCAAAGACCTAGATAAATGTTGAAAGTTACAGATCAATCGTCAGTCGGGAATTATCAACATATTTGACACATGAGTGCAGAAATTATATGTACAAAAAAAACTTAGTCTTTGTAGTGGTCACGAATGTGTAATAAGATACTTTATGGAATTTATAGTTTCATCCCACTTTCCGTTAATAAGGGCCCTCACATCACGTATTAGCCCCGAATCTTCCACAACATTACTGATCTAGTCACATTTTCGACAAAATCGAGCAGATAAAAGTGAAGGAAGCGAAAATGAATTTTCCTTCGATTTTATTTCGGTATTAAACAATATATTCTAATAACATACTAAATATTAGATAACATGCTGATGAGAGAAACATGTGTGCTATTGAAGAAATTTAATCACAGAAGCATGTGCAGGCACGCTATTCTACATTTTAAAGTGAGAATTACGTTAGAAGGTGCGATATATGTTGACGTGCATTATCAAATAATCGTAAGCGGAATGAAGCAAATAAGCATACAAACCTTTGATCGCATAGGATTCTGCTATAATGCGCAGTCTTCGGCAGGACAAATGTTTGTCTGTGTCTAAAGTAAATCTTTCTTTCTCTAAATCATACACAGGCCATAGTAATAAATGAATACTGGACTCAGAAATTTTCGAATTAAATAAATGCGTCTAATTAACTTGTTACTAGGTGAAACTAGTGCATAAAGATACTAATAGGAGAAAGAATGTATGCAGTAGAACTTTCAATATACTCAACTTAAAATTATGCTATTTGTTATGGATTGTCTGTACTCAACACAAAAAATATCTTACACATCAAACGTGTATATATATATATATATAGATATAAATATATGGTTAATCATGTAAAATCATATAACTATGTAACAAAAAGACTGACTACTGTTAAGGGAGAGAAACACAGAACTATCAAGCAAGCTGTTATGTGTACTTCTTCACTAATAATATGCAATAAATATTGTACTAATATGTACTACTATTATTAAAAAAAAAAAAGAGAAGGAGTGTAACAGTTAGCAATGCAAACCTTTAATTGCATATGATTCTGCTATAATACGTAAACTTCGACAAGGTAATTGCTTTTCTGTGAGTGTGTCTAGTTCGGCTTGTTGATAATGATGAAGCGCATCTTTGTACATTCCCATTGCGTAATGAAGTTTTCCAAGTAGCAAATGAGCGTCCAGTACAACCAAAGCCTAGAATATTATTAAAAAGAAGATTGAGGATAATACAAATCTACTTTGTATAAGACATTCCTAAGCAATATTCCTTCTTTGATTTTATTTCGGATATTATCTTACTATGACACTGCGATACCTGTTTGTCCTTCTCATTAGCGGCTAACATCAAGTATCTCCGTGTTTCCACCAGCCCATTCCTTGCCTTGATAATATTGGCATCTATTGGTGGAGTTTGTTCTAAAAAACTCTCTAATCTTCCTTCTCCGCATAAGAAATTTGCCAAACACTCTGTTACATAAAATATATACATACATAGCTGTTATAAAATCAATATTAATCTTTTTCCTAATGATTAACTAGAATATATTAACTAGAATTATAAGATTATTGTAACTGCATAGTTATGATGCAAGAAGTAATATTATAAGAGAAAATAATTGTTTGAATTTATTTTGTTAATATGCATGAGAGACTATGTGCATTATATAAACATTATTTTCGTTCTTTCTGTTAATGCAGAATAACAGTTCAAAAGAATCCTGCAAAACAACGTATACTGACGTGTGCAATTCGTAATAACAACGTCAAAGCAAACATCATGTCGATAATTAAATAGAATCAGCGTGACATCTCGTTTGTTGCAAAAAAAATATGTGGCTGTCCTTGATCTTTACATGACATGTTTTTTCTGCTTCTTCCTCTCATTTTTTTCTCGGAGAGCAAAGGCGTTACGAAACGGCGCGGGGACGTCATCGGAATGACAACCATAAGCAACAACTCTCTTCCTTCGAGGATACGTCATCGGTTGTGGCTAATCCTCGGACGAGTCTCCCGCTACGCAGAGACGCGGACGAAAGTAGGCGAATAGAAGGGGAAAGAATATTTACCGTTGCTGGGGTACTGCACTTTTAGGTGTTCCGCCAGCTCTATAACCTTCTTCCAGTTGCCCTCCTCGCGATTCCGATCGATCTCGGACTCGATACGGAGGGTGTGACTCTTCTTGCTCGTCATCGTGATCGTTTACGGTCAACGGCAACGGCGACGGCCGAAATCACCTGGACGCCCCTTCAATCGGTGCCGTGCAAGCACGCGGCGATATATTGATCATCAGTGATGCTTCTTCCTGCGCGATCACGAGCGGCGGTCATTACAAGTCGTGGCGGCTGCCTTCTCACGGCGAAAATTCGCTCTGAATATAGCACCAGATATGACCACCACCGCGGACACGTGCGCGTGGCAAACTGTCACGAACGTCACGTACTATCCCCCCTCACGGATCATGCACACATCAAACATACGTGTGATGTGAAACTGCCCTGTCTCATGGCGGATTCAGATTGTACGCGATGTCCAATGAGAAAACTTGCTGTCTAGGAACTTCAGATAGAGACATTCGTCTTTCCACAAATTTAACAATAGGCTGTTCTTCTGCACTAACTTGCACTATCTACACTTACAATATAATAAATACATCTATATTTGCACTTCCTCTGTTATATTTCTTTCTTTCCAAAACGCAACATACATTTATCTTTGTTTATATATGTTCTTTTAGATATAAAATTCTTATTAAAAAATAATTTGCGTTTTATTAAAAAATATTTTACAAAAAATGCGACATTAACCTAGATGTTACAACAAACATGATTGCATATTGTAAAAGTCTTAAATATATCATATTTAAGACTTTTTCTCCTCCTTGTATGAATCTGACAATAACAGTTTCATCTCAACCAAACTGCTTGTGCGTTAATCTGTATATAAATAATTACCTTAGAATTATTGTAGTTTTCCTTTTACAATACATTAAATAATTTTTTAAAGTGATCTTTCCATTTTGCTCGTATATCCACTATGTTATGCTGTAAAAAGAGAAAAATTGAACATGGATAACATCTATATAAATATATATTTAAATGTGTAGAATTAAAATATATGAAACAACACCTGCAATATATGTACACCACGTTGTGTGAGTACAATCAGTTCCTTCAATCCATCATTTGTTATATCCATGTAACTTATAGAATGTACAGGAGCATCAAATAGCTTCCTAACAGTTAGTTCCCATGTATCATTCACTAATGCATAAATCAAAACTTCTTGATTATAAGTACCAAGCAATATCTCATTTTCGCCATCCATATTTATGTCAGCTATACAACAACACAAAATACAGTCCGACAATTCAGTGCCACTCAAAATTACATCCTGCTTCATCCCATGTTTTAATATATCCCTGATAAAAGATCAGTAATATTATATGCTATACATATATATATTCACTTTGAAATTTTTAAATGCTTAATACTTCAAATATACACAATACATAAACTACTTACTCAAAGATAATAGCATGACTTGTACTTGAAACAACGATATTTAGTTTTGGCATATTTTGCTTGATACATTCTTCTAAAACTTTCCAATTATTTTATTAATTTATTTTTTATATGCCACATACCACACACACACATACATAAAATATCACATATAGAAATATATAAAAATACTTACGATTAGTATCTATAAAGGATGGTTTAACAACAGCATTCTGATGTGGGAATACTGTCACATTGGGCACAGGTTGATCATATCTTAGCAACCAACTTTGAGAAACTTGTAGATCTATCACATTTACTATAGCAACTTTGACTAGACCACATTCACAGCCAACAGCAGTAACTCTCCTAAATTAGCATATTATATATATATATGTGAGAATGTATATTGCACAGATAAGGAAACTGAACAATTTTTTTTATCATACAAACCACTTGTAATTATTGTAATAATAAATATTAATCCATAAAACAATAGCTTGAATGTCATGTAGTTCAGGAAAATACTTTTCAATGGAGGATTCACTATAACCATGGCTCAACTTATCTTCTCTTATCATATGTATTTTATAATCACTACCAGATATCAACCAGACCACCTGTAAATTTTTAATTATTATAAAGAAATAAATATATGTTTCATCATAATTACATATTACTGAAAGAAATTCTGACATTGTTTTATTAAGTTACCTCATGTGCAGAATTTTGTTGTGGTAAAATAGTATGATATAAATGGTAAGGAGTATAAGATAGTTCAACCATAAGACAGTTTTGAGCTATAGCTTCAATTGAAGTACCTTCATCTCCTTCACCATCTACTGCACCTTCTGTATATATATTCAAATATCTTTCAATTGTATCTGCACCAGTTTTAATAATTGTTATTCCTATTACAAAACTATCTGTAGTATCTGACTTATTATAAGCATCGATAGAAATAATTTCTGCACCACCTAAAGCAAACACAAAATTTATATATAAAATTGATGTAGTATACTGTGTAAAAGGATATGTATTTTATAAATATAATTTGTCATACTAGGAATGTACGTAAAGAGCAGTTCCTTCACCATAGGCCTCAGGTTCAAATCTAGCATTAAATGATACTCGCAGGAATATATTTTTCTTTTTAAAGACGCCACCAACAGTTTATTAGCACCATTAGGAGAGCACAGTTTGGTCATCGAATAAATATTTCCTTGCGATGCTAACGGAAACCAATGTGCATCTATTAGATTATTCATCATTGTTCCAACTAAACAAAATATAAAGTTCTGTTTGTGACTTTCTATCTCAGGTTGAGAGAGAGGAGGTTATGTTTGCTATAATCTTCCTCTTCTCTTTCTAAATCTGCTACAATCGACCATTGTAAACATTTATCTTTTTCAAAAAAACTTGTTTTAGTTCCTATGTTTCTTCTTTTCGCTTCCTAATTACCCCATACCACTTTTAAATTCACTACGTTCAATATTTACTCGCTCAGTGTTTGGATTACAACGAATTTCAGGTCGGTCCGAAATTCGACTACGTTCACACGAGATTTAACACGTCACAGAGTAGTGGGAGAATTGGAAAAAGAGAGGAAGTTCGTGTCCTTTATTTTTATTCGTCAATGTAAGATCTCGTCATCACGATAATGCCGAATACGCGAGTCTCCCAATGAAGTTTCACAAAGCCGCTTTCGCAATCGGTACCTTGAGAGAACCACGGATGACGTTATCTACATGAAAGTGGGTGTGCCTGCGCGATTCACTTGCCGGCGTTCGCACAGGTCGGGTCGACTCAGTCCTTCACTACTTGTGTCTCGATTAAAATCCCTCCGGATTTTGTCCCACCGATAACAGAAGCCGGGAGAAGCGGCGAGAAGCAAAAGTAACCGCAGGTTTGTTGATCTCCTCTCAACGTCATTGCGTCTCTCGGTAAGTCTCTTTCTGTCGTTTACCAAAACCGGCCATAGAATTTCGGCTGGTTCACATTGCGACTTGAATGATTCTTACACGAAAATGATCTCCGCTCTTTCTTGCGGCAATGGAAAAACGCGACGGTCGATGTATCGGTAAGATGTATCGCCTAAAATTCTACGAAATCATTATTCATTGTCGGTCTCGTCGACTCACGTGAAGTGTCAAGCCAATAATTACCGAGACCATGAATGTCGATGGCAGGTATGACGCATCATTCCTTTCTTTGTCACGCTCATTGCAATAATTCTATTTGACAGATAATTTCGTGAAGTTCTCCAGCCAAATCGCACCGCAGAAAAATGTCGCAGCAACAATATTACCCGTTCAAGGTATGTAATTTCGTCATATTGTGGAAATGAGGAGTGATAGGTTTGCCGCGGCGATAATTAGTGGCTTTGATCTATTTACGGAACCGCGAGTATCGATCATCCGTATTTTTAACGTTAGCCTAGTTTACAAGTCGATTCGCATTTTGTCGAAGTGTGATTCGTGCGTAAATTTACGTTGAACAAAATTTATTTATTTTCATGCATAACAAGTTTTTGATTATAAAAAAATAATGCATATAATTTTTTAATTTATATAGATATAGTTTTCATCTTTTATGGAAAGATTGTTAAAATTGGGAATTGTCATATATATATATATATAATTATTATATGAAGTTTTTTTTACAATTTTGATTATTTTTAAGAGTATTACATTATATTTATAATATATAATACAATGCAATAATTTCCTTTTTTTTTTTAATTATGAAAGTTCTTGAATATACAGTAGATTTCAAAAGATCTCATAAAACAAATATCTGTAAAAAGAATTATTACAAATTCAACAGTGCACTCCTACTGTGTATCCTGCCGAGCCATTTGATGCAAATGCAGATGCTGCTGTTTTGCGTAAGGCAATGAAAGGTTTCGGCACTGATGAGAAAGCGATCATCGATGTACTTACAAGAAGAGGCATTGTGCAGAGACTGGAGATTGCAGAGGCATTCAAGACTCTGTATGGAAAGGATCTAATTAGTGACTTGAAGAGCGAATTAACTGGGAAGCTGGAAGATGTTGTCGTTGCCCTTATGACCCCACTGCCACATTATTATGCCAAGGAGCTGCACGATGCCGTGACCGGCATGGGTACCGATGAGGAAGCAATTGTTGAGATTTTGTGTACGCTCAGCAACTATGGCATCCGTACAATTGCTGCATTTTACGAGAATTGTAAGACTCTTGTTATTTTACGATCGTTTATACAACTGACGTAGGAGAATTATGCGAAAAAATATCGTTCTTAATAGTGTATAGCAAATCACTGGAAAGCGATCTGAAGGGCGATACGTCGGGTCATTTCAAGAGGTTATTGGTATCTCTGGTGCAAGCGAACCGAGACGAGAATCAGGGAATTGATCACGCCCAAGCAGCTGCTGATGCCCAGGCATTATATGAAGCTGGTATGAGCAGCACTTTCTAAGTGTTTTTTTTAAATATATGAGATGATGTGGTGTTTATTCTCTAATTTTCACACACAGGTGAGAAGCAGTGGGGTACGGACGAGTCTCAATTCAATGCGATTTTAGTGACACGCAGTTACCAACAACTACGACAGACGTTTATCGAGTATGAGAAATTGTCGGGGCATGACATAGAGGTTGCCATAAAGAAAGAATTTTCGGGCAGCATCGAGAAAGGCCTTCTCGGAATAGGTAAGGCCTTCTGTCCACATGGGACAAGTGCATTGATTACATTACATATCTGTAGATTATGTCACGAGTGTTAACATGTCACGTTAACATTCGTATTTGCGGGTCACTTTTAGTTACTAATCTCGTGATGTGACTAGTCCTATGTCTCGTGTCTCTGTCGAACAATAAATGACACATATTTTATCGCGGAAATGATCGTCATAACGGGAAACTAATAGACACTTGCACGATATGATTTGCTTTTTAGTTATGCTCAAGTAAATAATTGTGCGTTTTCCAGTGCGAAATGCAAGCGACACTTGAAGTAGCATACAGTGCGAGGAAATGAGTATAAGCATTTGACGGAATACGAATAACCGTGTCCGATAATGTAAACTTAATATCCAAGAGAACAGAACTTTCCGTGACTCGTGCATCGGTCACACATTTTTATGCTCCTACGAGCTTTCGTAAAGCGATCGAAAAGTATTTTCGCAAGGCGGAGGCAAGTCACCATATTTCAGAGGAACCTTTTCGTAGTATTGATCCCTACTCATTTGTAGAACGATTATCGATGTGATTGTTATTACTAATTTACCGGATCATTTTTAGAATTAGATATTTTCTAACATTCTAGTATACGTATCACATTCGATAACTTTTAGCAAAGTATAAACACATTTCCGAAATTTTACTCGTATTATAATACACTCTGTCCTCCTCTATACGCAGTAATGTGATTTCTTGCTTCTTTGTGACATACCCCAGGAAGATTATATGATACATACGATACCTCCGACTGATAGACAAGTATACACGACGCGCGACATATGCGTCATCTTATTATTATGTAGTAATTACCAAACGGACATTTTGAACTGACTCTGAAATGCATGAAAATGGTGTGGACATTTATCGGACTCTATAACATATCGCAAAATCGGCCCCCGTTGAAACTGCATGGCAAGACTATTAACACATACCATATAAAGTCACTCATACCGCTACATTCATACATTCTATATGCAAATCCAATAGCCACACGAGACCTGGATTGAATACGTTTCAAGTACAGTAGACATCTTAGGGATTTGTAGTATAATTTTGTAGCATGAAAAGAGTATGCCCCTCTGTATCAGTTTAATCATGCTGTTTACATATTTTTATTAATTATATTAATACATTAAGCGTATATAATTACGTTATTATAAATTAACAAATTTGTTTCGTCAACAGTGAAGTGTGTGAAATCAAAGGTTGGATTCTTTGCTGAACGTCTTCATGCCAGTATGCATGGTATAGGTACGAAGGATCGCACTTTGATTCGCATCATTGTGTCTCGAAGCGAAATCGATTTGGGGGACATTAAGAAGGCATTCGAGGAACGCTTTGGAAAATCACTGGAAAGTTGGATAGCTGTGCGTTTTCTAATTTGTTTTTATTCCTCGTATCGCTTAAATTGATTATGACTAACTATTAATGAGTATGTTTGTTACAGGGAGACACCTCTGGTGACTACAAGAAGGCGCTTCTTTCTCTCGTTTCCACATAACTCTGAGGAAGCAATTAAGATTTTGGATGCGGTCTTCGTCATATTGGCGCATAATAATAGTATCTCCAGAAATAAAAGCTATTTGTGTATATCGAGTATATATACGCCTGCACGCGGGCTCCGGCTTAATTGCTTATTGTACTAATGAAAAGGTAGAGTGTATTATGTTGTATTTTCGAATTTTACTTTTATAATGTCTTTTCGAAATCTTTATTTTGTCATATATGTAGAGCAGTTTTAAACTTAAATGTATCGTGTTCTAATCTTGTTTGTGTAATATGCTTAACTCTGCTGTTCTGTTCGTTTTAACTGTACATATTTAGTGCGTTTGAAATTGAATAGACACAGTGATGCCTTTTTTAAACATAATTTTAATTGGATACATCTGTTTGTCTATATTGTACAAATATCTATTTAGAAGTAAAAAATTATAAAATATGTAAATTGATGATTTTGATATCTTCGCACTTTAGATACGAAAATAGATCGCGAATAAATCCAAACAAAACAGCAGAGTTAATTAAATTATATTTTATACATTTCTACTTCTGTTAAAATATATTGAAAAATTTATATAAAGAATCTCATATGTTATATATGTTTATAAAAAAACATTGGGAAATCGAAAATAAAATTAAAGAAAACGATATACTGTATATGTGTTTATATATATTTCCTTAGTTCTTTTAT